CACTCTTTCAGCAGCGCTGGTTCTGGAAATATTTTTTTCCATTCTTTTTTCCCCATAGGGATTTAAAAAATAATCTTTGTTAAAAGCATTATAAGCCAAACCAACTGGTTAAAGGTGGGGTATGTAATTTTTTCAAAAACGCTTTAGAGAACTGAGTTGGGCCGAGTACCAAAACAAACTTGTAGCCAATCAGCAGTAAGGGGCTCATGATGTGGAGAAGAGAGCGCTCAGTGCACAGGACGGACATTAGCGAGCTGAGCTACAGAAAGATAGAGATGGCGGATAAAAAAAAACAAAAGAGGAAAACGTCTGCGGAACAAAAGAAGGCAGCCGCATCCAGTGTAGACCATAGATATGTATATATATCTATGGTGTAGACAGCATCACTGATTATAATGAGTTCTATAGTATTTTGTCGCACTGCTCGCTTCTGGTGTAACATTGGTTTTGCTTTGTTTCACAGAACTAATCGTTGCCTGGGTTGCGTACGTATGTGTGGGGCGGAGCTATCAAAATAGGGGCGAGACCCTTTTGGGGTAGGGCCGTGTTTGTTTTGATGATTTCAAATGTCAACATTGGCTACCAGAAATCGCTTACCTTGCCTTTAAGTGGAGAATCACAACATTGCAAACTTTAATTTGAAGCAAAAAGTATAAAAAAAACAAACAAACAAAAAGTATATTTGCAAGACTGTGTACTTAACGGCTTTAGTTATGTGCCAATCCCATGTACTTTTACAATCCCATGAAGCACTGACATAATCGAATTAAAAATGATAGAGAAACATAAAACTATTAGTTGAAAGTTTTGAATATCTATTGAAACAATGTATTTTAAGTTTATTGCAAAATATAGATATATAAACAAATATTAAAGTATTTTGACAGCATAGACTTGATTAGGTAATTTGCAGCAGCTCATGGGAGCGTTGAGGAATTTCCTGTACATCATCAAGGGTAGAGTAATTTTTCAACACAAATTCCGCTGTTAAACACAATTGTTTTAAAAATAGGTTGAAATAATGCGAACAGATGGCTTCAACAAGAGCATGTACCGTTGATTAACAACCTCGGGGCTCAAAAGATCTCCATCTGTAAAGGTGTATTATAAGTTCTCACTAAAAATCAGTTTGCCCATGGAGCAAAAAATTTAGCTTTCACAGTCTAATTTTGATAACACTGCTTAATTGTTGCCATTTTGGTTTTAATACGTTCCAAGTCAATATTACGTTTTAAGTCTCTCCCTTCCCTCTCGGTTTTGAATAATATCTAAAAAGGTAATCTGGTTCCATAACACTTTACTCTAGCACTGTCCGTCCAGTTCTCACCACATGTCCAGGGAAGTGGTCTGTGTCTTGGTCCCTAGGAGGAGCTCTGGGGCTCGATACCTGTGAAGAAAACATTCTCAGTGATGGAAAGAGGGATTTGAAAGATTAGCAGGATGACCGAGAGACTAATCAGCATGAAGTTCATCTGCTTACCACAGTGTGACTACTCGAGGAGTCATGGGCTGTAACGGGATACCGTAAACACGCGCCAGACCGAAGTCAGCTGTGGAAGAACCACCAGACATCCATCACTGACAGGACACAGACGTCTACATACAGCAGATCATTTGTATGTGGGTGAATCTCAAAAAAACAGTCTAGGTCATATTTTACCCCAAAATCAAAAAGAAACATAAGAAATTATACAAATATACTATGCATAATCAAGCCTATTTTCAAATGCATTAAAATGTTTCACACTGTGTAAAAAGTTTCCCTCACTCATGATTTCGTAATAATCACCTTCATTATAATTTACGAAAGGTTAATTGTTTATTTATATTCGCTCACCTATCTTTACACAGCCTTTGTCTGTCATCAGTAGATTGGAAACCTTCAGATCCCTTTGATAAAAATCGCCAGTATCGATATGAGAATTAAGAAAACTCATTATTAGAAGTTCAACATTGTTTAGTCTCAAACGTGGGAAGGAAAATTATTTTGCAATTTTACTGTGCAGCTGAAAACATGGAAATGTTTTAGTGAACAGAACAAGCCTGAATGAACACACTCTGACCTGTGAAGAATGAAGTTGTGATGTAAAAATTCCAGTCCTTTAAGCAGCTGAAGAACTATACACTTCACCTGTGCAAAACAAAGGAAAAAAAATATTAATATACATATTTTACAAGCGTGGTCTGAAAATGCTGTAGGGGGAGTTCAAGTAGGTTTTCAATGAAATGACGGACTGGAAATGAGGCGGAAATGATAGCAGTACTACTGCTATCACTTTAAATACACGACGCAAGGAATCTAAAGAGAGGAGGCTCAAGACAAAAGACCATATTTATCAAAACTTACACTCGCACAATATAAGTTTCTTAAGAGATATTATCACACTCCATTGATAGGATGAAACTGATGAATGATAATTTATGTTGGAAATGCCATCTGGAAATAGACACCTTTCTCATTTGTATATGAAAATGTAGTATTGTCAAACCATAAACAACCATAATTGTTTATGGATGTATGGATGTATAAAAACATCCATAATTCTGGATACAGGTTATGGATGTTTTAAGTTGCTGGTTTGGTTTCAGAATATACTTAATGTGTATCCTTAATCTGTTATGGTAGGTATACAACAACCAGTAGGATTATTTTAAGACACTGGAAGACAGTGAAAGCCCCAGAACTTAAAAAGTGGGCCAGTGCTCTGGTGAAAATTGAATTTATGCTCAGTAGAGTAAAATTTATGCTAGAGTGGAAGTGGTGATGTCACTCTGCAATGAGTTCTGAATGCATATAACAATTAAGCATCAGAATGAATAGACAGCAATTTTGTTTTTTCTTGTACCTCTTTTGTATTTTGTATTATTATTTTAAAGCATTCCTATAAACCTTGTAACCCTTATTTTGATTGTATTGTTGTATGCCTACTAAAAAACAAAAACAAATAAAACAAAAAACAAACAACAACAAAAAACAATAACAAAACAAGTCACACTTCCTCCAAATTTCTAAGGTAGCCTACTTTTAGAGTATGGTGCTGATGACACATAAAAGTCTTGGAAAAATACAGATTTTACTGCAAAACTAAAACAGTACTACAGATGAATCAGGAACACAGAGTATTCACAATATGGCCCAATTCATTTTTCAGATCTAATGTACTGCTGTACCTGCTCAGGGCACAGTGGTGATGTCCTATATATCAAAGCATTAAAAACAGCCTCACTTGACGTTTCTGTTCTCTGACAAATTTGTTGATGCGTTATATAAGAACAGGTATATAAGTAAAGCTTTTAATAATTTTTGATCATGACAGTCTCAAGAAGATCCAGACATAGGGGGTGTTCAAAACAGCATGTTTTTATGGTAGACATTCTGGCACATCAAAAGTTGAAATGAAACCTATAGTTGAAACCTAGTTGAAATCTATTCTGATTTATGACTTAGCATTTCAGACTGAAGATGAGGGCATTCATCAAACGCACCTGAGCTTCAGAGAACGGGGACTGCATGTTCTCCAGTAGACTGGCCAGATCCTGCTCACAGTAACTCATCACCAGAAAGAGGCTGCCGTGAAAAATAATAGGCCATTATGAAATAAGACTTATTCACAAATACACTAAATAGAAACCTGTGTTTATATCTGTAAGTGTACAGCATACAGTATATTTTCTTTAGTCACCTCTCCAGATGGCTTCCCACCACCACTTCTTTCAGCTCCACAATGTTTGGGTGTCTCAATCTGAGCAGTAAGTTAATTTCCCTCAAACTGCTGATGGGAATCCCTAAACGCATATAGACAAAATAAACACAAATCAAGGTTTCTACAGATGTCAAATGTGGTTCAGGTTGTCTGACCTGATTGTCAGTTGATTATATTAAATCAAGCTGCAACAAAAAGCACCATAAAAGAAATCCATATGACTTGTGTGCTATATTCCAAACCTTCTTGAGTTATATGATAGTTTGTGTGTGGACACACATTTAATATATTGAAAATCTTGCCTTTAGTCCTGACTATCAATCTTTCATTCACACTTTCACATTAAACACTCTTCTCCATGTTATTAACTCCTCACTTTCTTTAGGACCCATCCCAAAAAGTTGGCAGTGATCAAAACCTTTACCCATAGAGTTTGATCCTGGAGAATTAATTAATTATTTCAAATCTTCCATTTATATCGAAAGTATTAGAAAAAGTAGTGGTGTCACTCAACTGTTTATTTTTGCAGAGAAACAGTTTCATTGGAGCATTTTAGTAAGGATTCAGGCCTTATCGTAGTGACTGTGTTTTTTGAAGTTACAAATGGCCTGCACTTATCATCTGACCATAGCTGCATCTCCGTTCTAGTACTGCTAGATCTTAGTACTGCCTTTAACATCATACACCACAACATTTTGTCTTGAGAATTATGTTGGCACAGATCCTACCTATCTGATCAATACCAGTTTGTTTGTGCTAACAAAGAAATGTCAGAACAAGCACAGGTTAAGTGTGGAGTGCCACAAGGATTGGTATTAGGTCCACTGCTTTTTTCATTGTATGTGCTTCTCCTGAGGGAGATCATCAGGAAACATGGAATCACCTTTAAACAAGAGATACTAGAATATTTATTATTAATATTTTGAAGTCATTTTATTGTCTCTACACTGGCTACCTCCCTCTCAGATTGAGCATCAACTTTAAGAAAATTACTTACAAAGCCTTGAATGGCCTAGTTTCGCAGTACTTTACAAAATCTTCTATCATGATATAATCCTTTGCATGATATAATCCATCGTAATCACTACAGGTGCAAAATTCCGGCTTGTTGATAGTACACTAGGTGCTGCCTTGGTCAGTTTCACTTCCTTCACTAAACGTCTACAATCACAACCTGAGCCACATGACTGCTGTAACTCAATGATTCATTTTCTGCACCCCTCTTTAACCTCATGAAGGACCCAAACTGTCATTTTGTCTGCCTAATCTGTAAATCCGGGACAAAACTCAAAGAAAGTTTAATTTTCATAGTCTGAACAATATAGTGTATAGCCAGAGTTTTTTGTTCCTTGCCACGGTCACCTCTGGCTTGCTCACTGAGGGATTAAAGACTGAAATACTACTGCAGCTCCATGATAAAAATACTTCAACCTCTAATCTTATACCAAGAAATTGGTTATTTTCTATTACAGTAATGAGCGATATCACATAGTAATCCACTCTGTAATGCTGCTTTGAAGCTGTGTATTGTCAAAAGGTGCTATACAAATAAACCTGAATGACTTGAGTACATGTAAGAACCACTTAAGTTTTTGTGTGTAACGAAGGCCAGCAAGTAAGAGCTGTGCAGGTAAACCTCAGTTTCTCCTTTTCCCTATTTGGACAAAATTACTTTCAAATGAATGCAACTTTATCTTTAACAAACAAAAAGTAAACTTTTCAGTGAACAGCAACTGCCACTGGTGGAAAAGAGTGGTAAACATGACTGATTTTCATTTGGAGATGCAACTGACCATCTTTCTCTTTATCCATTCGCACTTTCTTCAGGGCAACAATTTCATTTGTCCTTGTATCACGTGCTCGGTCTGTAAAACCACAAATCAATTAATCAAGAGATTTAAATCTCGTCAGATAGCACAACTGTTTGATAATAAGGCTATTTATGGATGACACAACACGGATATGAATATACATGGCATTCTATTTAATATGTGATATGTTTGCATTATCAGTCATTCTGTGAGACTCACACACGATGCCATATGTTCCCTCTCCAATCCGGTTCATCTTCTCAAACTCCTTCACACTCCTGCATTTCCCCAACTACACACATCATGCAGAAACACCGCAATAAATGCTTATGTATCTCTTGTTTTGTATATAACAAAAAGTTTATAAGCCAGTAACGTTATGTCTCACCCGTTCTCTGTGCGGTATTACAAACGTCTTGTCGGTTTTTAAAGATTTCAGCTTTAACGGCTCTAGATCTGTCTCTGATGTGTTTTCCATCTCCAATCACTCCACATTCGTCTGGATCAATGATTAGTGTAACACATATAGCAATTTAATGTTGCACGACTGTACGTTTCGTGTAAAGAGCAGCAAATCTAGAGACAAGAGGAAGAGAAACTCCGTGAAAGCTTACAGTCGCTCATTTGAACATTTATATGGACAACTGTCAGCGTTCAATGAGTTTCTCATCTAGCACAACATCAAGCGAATGGTTTTCACAAATGCAAGACTGCTAACTGACGATAATAAAGCAAATCAGGCTTTGATTTAAAGTGATAAATTCATTTGTATTTGATCTATTTTTACCAACCCAGTCTCGGAGCCCGTCATTTTCAAACAAACACGCAAACAACGCTGTCACGTGGTTACTTGTTACTTTTTGTCACCAAAAAAAAAAAAACAAGAAAAAAGTCTCTCAGAGGAGTGACCATAATTAACATTATCCGTTCATACCTGTGTAAATCAGGCTGTGCCCGTGACAAAACGACCTCGACCAACAAACACTGGACTTCCCATGGGCCGCGGCTCGTTATTAGCGTCCGCTATCTTCAGACACACTGGCGTCTCTAAGAGGTTTTCTCGAGACGGAGCTGTGATGATGATCAGCGGTACAGCTGAATTATTAAACAATGAAGGTGGTGATGAGGAAGATGAGGATGAATCGGTGCTAAGAGACTGCTCCTCTACTGTGGAAATTAAAAAAGTAAAAGCATGTGAATACAGTGGCAGTGACATACATGTACATACATTTTTATATAATAATTATATATAATAATATATATGACATTTTATAGAGGGGGTGGGGGGAGAATTTAATTTGCACACGACTTATTTTGTACAAATAAATATAGCGCTGATAATTGTATTGAACTGATTCACCATAATGTAATGACAATATTTTACATTATAATTGACATTATTTTTTCCATAATGTAAAACAAATATGCTGCAATGAAAACGGACAGGGCATTTTTTACTTTCATCTGTGAACTGTTTCGTATGTTTGTTTAGCTTTTCTCTAAAAACACTGAATAAATGCACTCTCCTTTAAACTGGATTACAGGACGGTTTACGTCAGAAGAATTAATCCCACACAGAACCTAATTAATCCCACACAGAACCTAATTAATCCCACACAGAACGACAGACGGACAGTCGGACAAAACTGCATATAGTTGAAATTAAGTTCATATTAATATTCAATTAATGTCTGAATGGAGGCAAATTGTCCTTACCGTTAGTTTCTTAGAAACATAAAGCAGATAAAATGATAACAATTTTACCTGGGAGAACCTGCTTTCTCGGTGCAGAGCCCATTCCCCATCACGCAATGAAATGAATCTCTCAGTAATGCATTTGTTGCTCCATGTGAATAATTCTTCTTCTGAGCAGAAAGGACCGTCCTGATCACAGCCCTGATTCAATGTCAGTATCGCACACACTGCAAATCACCATCTAACCACAAGAAGCCACATCGCCACTCTGATGTGAACTTTTTTTTTTAATAGGTTTAGGAACAGAGAACCTAGCCTATTCTTATTCTTGGTCAGGAATTTGGCTCCGTTAAAGGTTATCTAACGTATTTTCCCCGAAACATTGGCTACGGAATACAGGCTACTAAATACACTGAATCTCCTGCAGTACGCAATACTTGTTCAACGGCAAGCACCACACAACACCGCTACTGAGTCTGACTCTGACCAGTGTAGTCTGATCCCCGGACGAAAGACTCTTATGATGAGCCGGTTCTTTTTAATGAATAACACTAGCGCAACCCACTGATGCGGCGCAACCAGGGTCGTACGATTCCCAAGTGAATGACTCGGTTTTTTTTTAGTGAATCAAACACAAACAGCTCAATGTTTATATTTACTATTTCACTATTTATAATAGCTGTTATAACTATAAATAAATTCCGATGCCTTAATTTATGCGAAGTAGTGATTCCTATAAAGTTTATATTTTCCATAGAAAGCAGTCAGCACAGCACAGCTTCACTGAGAAACAGAAATCAATAAACACACCGTTCTTCCTCTGCTCTCTCATCTTATTAAAGTAAAGTAAAATTAAAGTAAAGATAAAAAAAAGTTTAAGACTTAATATTTACATAACCAGTAAGCAGGTCAGACATCCTACAACAATTATTTCGAGTTGATCAAATCTGGATCAGTTCCCTTTCGAACGGTCTCTCCCATTGCGTCGCTGACGCTTATGGGGAAACTCCTGTTTACTCTGATACTGACAGGGGCGGACTTAGTGATTTGGGGGCCCTAAGCAAATTCCAGGTATGGGACCCCAACACAATAACTATGTGCTCTTTTACACCTAACTCTTATTTTGCTCGCTCTCTCCACACACACCGTATATAATACAATATAATATAACATAATATAATATAAAATAAAAATGCTTGCACTTCATTTAATGAATTGTAACCTCAGTCTTTGTACAAAAAGGATTCAAATGTTTTAAGATTATCCCATGAAACTCGTTCCGTATTCCAAGTGGTCTGAAGTCATGCAGTAGGGTTTGCCGAGAAACAAATCGAAAATGTAATACATTTTTATGAGAAAATCTCCAGTCATCGCATTCGTGCAGTTATTTGAGTGTGCGGCAGTTCGCGCCGGCCCGCATAGTAAAGCTGTCACTAAAAGCTGTCACTCACTTCAGTTCATCGCGATCTCATGACGTTCTGTTAATCAATGAAGCTCTCTACACTGCACAATTAATCTCTTATTTGCGTCGTATCTACACTTTTAATGAGAGGATTCGTGAGCTTGCAGAGCTCAGCACTGGACAAAAACTCGGCGTTTTGAACGGTGAGTGGATTCTAACTTAAACACCTCGCATTCAGAAAATCAACAGATATGTCTGTGATTGGTTAAGTTTCTCAACGCTGCAAAACACACTGTAAATATAAATATTTGACGCTCTCTAGAACACAAATACACACTGGAGCGTTTTCCAAATATGTTTCGCCAATATCAGATGGGGCCCCCTGATTCCCCGTGGCCCTAAGATCCCTAAGATATACGCTTACCTCGCTTATTGGTTAAGTCTGCCCCTGGATACTGAAGCCTGATTTGTTCATGTTCGTGTAACTGCAAAAACCAATGGCGCTTGAAAGATAGAGCTGTGTGTCATCAGCATAGCAATGGTAGGAGAAGCCATGTGCCTGTATGATGGGACCCAGTGACGTTGTGTTCACAATAGCAACATTGGTATCGATACTATCGATATGAGGATCGTTCCGCCCACCCCTACTGTTAATCAGTGAAGCTCTTTACACTGCACAATGAATCTCTTATTTACATCGTATCTACACTTTTAATGAGAGGATTCATGAGCTCGCAAAGCTCAGCACTGGACAAAAACTCAGCATTTTGAGCGATGAGCAGATTCTAACTTAAACACCTCGCATTCAGAAAATCAACAGATATGTCTGTGATTGGTTAAGTTTCTCAACGCTGCAAAACACACTGTAAATATAAATATTTGACGCTCTCTAGAACACAAATACACACTGGAGCGTTTTCCAAATATGTTTCGCCAATATCAGATGGGGCCCCCTGATTCCCCGTGGCCCTAAGATCCCTAAGATATACGCTTACCTCGCTTATTGGTTAAGTCTGCCCCTGGATACTGAAGCCTGATTTGTTCATGTTCGTGTAACTGCAAAAACCAATGGCGCTTCAACCCGCCAAAAGGGAAGGAGCCGGCCACTATATAAGTCGGTTCTAAGCGCCATTTCATCAGAATTAGTGATGGGAAGTCTGTTTTTTTTTCCGTTAACTGGTTCTTTCGGACAGTTCGTTTCAATGAACCGGTTCACTGGTTTTCACGTAATGGTTTGTAATCATAACGTAAGATAAATAGTAATAACCATCATCTTGGATAAGTTTCTTACATTTACATTTAGTAAAAACACCCAATACTGGCACTGATATGTAAACGCGGATGTCAGATATGAAAATAAAGGAAGTGAAGTCTTCATCAACTTTTTACAGAAACCGTAACAGAACCTTAACTGTACAGAAATCCAGCTCATAAAGCTTAAAATATAATGTGCAAACACAATAGTAAATAGTAATATTCATTTACATGTTTTGAGTGATCAGTTGTTGCATGTTCATCATGTTAAAATGTTGTTTAATATAACTAGTTGCATTTGCACTTTCCTGTGAGTTTTATCTGTTATTAAATAAACTTAATAAATAAATAATAAATTTAGTCAAATTCACCCCCTCATTCAAGTCCTCGGTCCACTCACACTCATAGTATATTAATATCAGAACAGCATCAGTTTTAGCTTCACGCATGCTCAGTATCTCCAGCTCATCGGTTCTCAGTATGTCAAACGTGTCTGAAAGAAATGGTTCTCGGTTCAGTGTACTGGTGATTCGAGAACTGTTGACTCGAGAACCGCTGTAGCAGTTCGTTCGGTAGTACACGCATGCTCAGTATATCAGCTGCTCATGCTCATCAGTTCTCTCAGTCTGCACAGCATGTTTCAGTGCTATTGGAGTTACAGGAGTAACATATACTCTGGGATATTGGTTTATTTCGAGTCGTAGGGACTGTAAGGCATGTCTGAAAATGAGAAACTTTAGAAAATTGTGGATCAGTGCTGACTCGAGATGCGAACTGTTTTGAATGATTCAGTCCGATTTGGTGAACCAGTTCGACTGGAATGCTCTCACTGAGAGCATGAGTCTTGCCCTTCTCCGCTTGTGGATCACCTTCTTCAATGAAGGCAGCCCTGCTCTCCTGTTTCTCCCTTCTCAGCTAGCTCGGAGAAGGAAACAGTGGAGTCAAGGGGCTGAGCAACCGAGCTTGAGTGATCTCACAGCGGCACAGGTCCCGCGTGCTCACTCTCCCCACAGTACTATGATCCGCCGGTGTGTTTTACATGTGAGGATCAGCGGCCCTCGTATATACGAGCGGTTTAATCCTTTTAAGCGGATCAGAGGAAAATGCTGTAACCAATGATTTTGTATCGCTGACAGCTTCAGATTTCGGTGCGCTGCTTGCCTGGGTCACGTCCATGCTGAGGCTGCACTCACTAAGACAGACTTGCCCTCACTGCGAGAGCATGATTCTGGCTCTGTTCGTTTGCGGATTGCCTTCTCTAAAGAAGATGATCCCGACCCTCTCACTCTCACGTTTCTCCCCTCCTAGCTACAGCACTTTGATCCGCCAGCGTGTTACACGTGAAGATCAGCGCCCTCATCTGCATCGAGCTGTTTGATATTTTTAAGCGGATCAGAGGAGAATGCTGTCACCAATGATTCCATATCGTTGACAGCTTCAGATTCGAGTGCGCTGCTTGCCTGGGCCATGGCCACGCAGAGGCTGCGCTCACTGAGACAGACCGCTCTCACTGATAGAGCACGAGTCATGCACAGCACTTTAATCCGCCGGTGTATTACACGTAAGGATCAGTGCCCCTCGTCTATGAGCGGTTTGATCTTTTTAGTCGGATCAGAGAAGAATCTTGTCACTGATGATTCTATATCACTGACTGCTAAATTATATCATGCTCTCTGCCAGATGTTTCTGTGAGTTTGCCTCTCTGCAATCCAAGTCTTTCTTCTGGATATCTTTGCTCTTTTATAAGCGCATGCGCATATAGGCATATCTCCACATGAGTTCAAACCATACTTTTATTTTGACAGGTTGCCATGAAGCTACTGTGTGTATACAGTATGATGATGCTAGTTTTCTTAAATAAAACGGTAAAATTATCGCGAAGTGACTCTCACAGTGACAGCAGCTCTGGAGAGTGTTCATTGTTCATGCCGTCATATAGTGAGACGCAGAGGCCGAAAATCACCGCGAGCTTCACGCGTGATTTGTGTAGTGTATAGTAAACAAAACCGCGTTTCCGCCGTTTATAAATACCGGGTCACTGGTTTTCACGTAATGGTTTGTAATCATAACGTAAGATAAATAGTAATAACCATCATCTTGGATAAGTTTCTTACATTTACATTTAGTAAAAACACCCAATACTGGCACTGATATGTATGCGCAAATGTCAGATATGAAAATAAAGGAAGTGAAGTCTTCATCAACTTTTTACAGAAACCGTAACAGAACCTTAACTGTACAGAAATCCAGCTCATAAAGCTTAAAATATAATGTGCAAACACAATAGTAAATAGTAATATTCATTTACATGTTTTGAGTGATCAGTTGTTGCATGTTCATCATGTTAAAATGTTGTTTAATATAACTAGTTGCATTTGCACTTTCCTGTGAGTTTTATCTGTTATTAAATAAACTTAATAAATAAATAATAAATTTAGTCAAATTCACCCCCTCATTCAAGTCCTCGGTCCACTCACACTCATAGTATATTAATATCAGAACAGCATCAGTTTTAAATTATTTCTAGTTGATCAAATCTGTATCAGTTCCCTTTCGAACGGTCTCTCCCATTGCGTCGCTGACGCTTATGGGGAAACTCCTGTTTACTCTGATACTGACAGGGGCGGACTTAGTGATTTGGGGGCCCTAAGCAAATTCCAGGTATGGGACCCCAACACAATAACTATGTGCTCTTTTACACCTAACTCTTATTTTGCTCGCTCTCTCTTTCATAGTTTATAGTTTATTTACCCCTTCAGAATTTGTCGATTGCATAAATTCAGTAAATAATTAGTCAACCTGATGCTGTTCTAAAGCCATAT